GGGGGGTGGAAGGGTTTAGGTTGGGGGGAAGGAGGTTGAGGGGGAGGGGCGCGGGCGCGGGAGGGGTGTTGGAGGATGGAGATGAGGAGTTCGACTAGGAGGGAGGAGGCTAATGGGGCGATGCCTGGGCGGGTGACGGTGCATTGTTGGTCGAGGGTTGCGTTGCTGAGGGACTGGTTTGGTTTGTGGGTGATTAGGTTTGGCGTTCTTAGTACAAGGTGAGGAAGGGCGGGGAACTTACGTCTGCGGGGGCGACGACGTCGTTGCAGAAATAGCAGCCTAGTTCTATGTCGCCTTGCTGTGTGGCCTTTAGACCGTGGCGCATGACGACGTACGTGTCAAAGCCCAGGGCGGCGTTGAGTACGATTTTCCCGGCTGCTTTGCCCATGACTGTGGGCAGCCATCTGCTCTCTCGCGTGTCCATGAGGAGAAAAATGACGTCGTGTTCGTGAATGAGTTGCTGTAGCTTGGTGAAGTCGGCCTTTGTCTTTGCGGCGTCGGTCATGGGATGACCGAGCATGGGCACCTCCATGACATGGCCAGTTGCATCTACACCAGGATATATCTCCGTCAATGCCTTTGCCGCTCTCTCTGCCTTCTTGGCTCCGCCGTTGAGACAGTCCTCAAAATTGAATAGTGGCTGCCGTACGGGATTCGAGAAACTAACAGTGGCGTTGTCGACAAAGGTGATCTTTCGCACGCCCCAGCCCATGAGTGTTCTTGATACATAGGTTCCCAAGGTACCTGCACCGAGTAACAGACACTTTGCATTCTTGATGACATCCAGATCTATCGTGGGTGCGATACGCCATTTAATCAGCTTGAGATTCAAGTCCACAGCCTGATCTGCCAGCTTTCGTTCGTCCATGTACTCGGAGAGGTCAACGTTTCGTGATGACAGCTTTCCGGCTTCTGTGCGCTCCCATCCCGTGACCTTTGGCAACTTTGGTGCTTGCAACGAGGAATGCGAACTCTCCAGTGATACAGGCTCTAGATCCACACCTTCAGACTCGAGTTGCAAGATCAAAGAGTTGGGTTGGTCGCGCCGCAAGTGTGTATCGCGATAACACAAAATCTGGGCCCTGTTCAGGCGCCATCGATGCCTCATGAGTATGAGCAGATTCCGCAGTGGCCATCCTGGGTTCTCTTCGTAGGTGGAGGGGTCTGCAAAGCAGATTAGACGATCCGCCTCGTCGATACCATGGAAGAAGCCCTTTTCATACGCCTCGAGCGTGCCAATGACCCATGTGTATCCAAACTCTTCAAGAGGACTGACTGGTGTTCTTGATCTCTCACCCGCTTCGGTACCACCTCGGATGCGCTTGGCCAAAAAGAAGCCTCTCTGGCGCACATCTGAGCTATAGCGCCACGTCTGCACTGCGTCGACGAGATAGGTCGTCTCTCTGGCATGGAGTCTGCTTGCCGGCCCTATTTGCTTCCACGGCGGGTCTGACTGTATAGCGGGGAAACCAAAGTGGTACGTAAACTTGTACTTTTTGAGGTTGGCGAAGATGATGGCGGTGAAGGAGGACAGGAGGGAGGGGCATTCGTAGATGGAACCGTCGTGGATCGCATCCCATATCTACAGGACTTAGCAGGGTAGGAGGGGGACTCGGGCATAGCAGCCTACTGTTTGAGCGCAACGTTCGAGGATTGCGGTGCGGTCGAGGTTCTTGTAGTCTTCTATGGTATTGCAGTTCTTGATGATACCCTCGGCGCGGCAAAAGTTTGGCGGCGTCCTAGATCCAGTCAGCCAAGATGCCAGCCGTTGAGGTGTTTCTTCAAGCCTACTCGTCCGAAGTGAGCGCATTGGGATGTATCTGGACGCGCATGGAGCGCGAGGAGTGGTCGCCCGAGCGCACCTCGTACAATCCGAGCACCTTACGCGCGGAGTCGTCGAGTTTGTCATGATTAATCTTGATGTGTGCAAGCGCTGCGTAGAACTGTACATCGACGTCGCTCTGCCAGGGTGCAAACCGCAGGGCCGTCATATTGGGATGAATGGATGGCTGGGTACGGGGGTTATCTTTTCGTGTGTGTGTGCTATTGGCACTGTAATGATGTGGAAGCCAACAAGACAGAAGTGGGAGAAGTATAGGTGATGAAAGGGACAAAAAGGGCGACGGTCATGGGTAGGTATTATCAAGCACGTGAATGGAAATCAGGCAGGCCCGAGCATCATGGGGTGAATGTCTCGTGGGAAGAAGGTAGGTGGCTTGCACGAGGCGACTTTGCGAGCATATCGATCAAGTTCTGCCCCGCGCCGTCCATCGTCCATGTCATGGGTCAGGCGGGGCAGGCGAGCGCTAGGACGCGTTCCTGCAGCTACGCCTAGCCTAACCGAGCCGAGCACGACAGGGGGGGGGCGGGGACGACGGACACTCCCGCAGCCCTTTTGCTTTCACCTCCACACAACACCGAGCAAAAGGGTCCTACTGTGACTTTGGGCACAGAGGACTCTGGTAACATCATGCTCATTGGATTGTGCGGAGGCAAGCACCGTCCCTAACATGCCCCCACGGGTCACTAACACCCATACCCAGGAATCTGCGCCGGCAAGTCCTCAATAGCCGAGTATCTCGTCGACGAGCACAACTTCACACGCATCCACCTCGCCCGCACCGCCGCGACTCCTGAGCTCGAAACCTCAGCTTCAAGCACACACGTGCCGTCTCCAGAGCCGAATCCTCCAGATAACGACCACAGCCAACAACAACACATCTTCCCAAATGTAGACGCCCTCGTCGACTTCGTCACACTCCGATGGCGAGACCGGTGGGTGACAACGGACATATGGGACGACAAAACCGTCGACCTCCTCCTCCGCCGCCCCTTCTTCCTCCTCATCAGCGTCGACGCCCCCCTAACCCTGCGCTTCCACCGCCTCAAAGCCAAACACACACACCAACACCTCCCCGCCCCATCCCTCGAAACCTTCGTCACCAGCAACGACACCCACCTCTTCGCACCCGGCACAGGCCGCGGCGCCCTCTTCCAACGCGCCCACCTCAAACTCGTGAATTCCACCCCGGATCTGCCATCCCTTCGCAACGCCCTGCGCGCCCTCGATCTCACGCACGAGGCTCGGTTGAGACCCAGTTGGGATCAGTATTTCATGCAGCTTGCCGATTTGGCCGCGCATCGTAGTAACTGTATGAAGCGCCGTGTGGGGTGCTGTATTGTGCGTGAGAAACGCGTGATTAGCACGGGTTACAATGGAACCCCCCGCGGCATGCCAAACTCCATTCAAGGGGGCTGTACTTCTCTCCCCCCCCCCACCACCCCTTCTCTCCCACAACCCCCAACCCAACCCAACCCAATCTAACCCACCCCCACCAGGCCCCCGCTGCAACACCGCCACCCCAGGCCCCCACACCCTCTCCACCTGCCTCTGCCTGCACGCCGAAGAAAACGCGCTCCTAGAAGCCGGGCGCGACCGCATCGCCGCAAACGCCATTCTCTACTGCAACACGTGTCCGTGTCTGACGTGCAGTGTGAAGATTGTGCAGGTGGGTATCGGCGAGGTCGTTTATCATCATGGGTATTCGGTGGATGAGCAGACGGCGCAGGTGCTGGCGCAGGGTGGGGTGCGGTTGAGGCAGTTTACGCCGCCGGCTGGGGGGGTTGTGGATTTGGCGTTTGTGGGGGAGGGGGGGGTTGGAGGATAGAGGACACCATCATTGTCATTCCAATCATCCATATTGAGAGCCAGAAGGAGAGAGAAAAAAGGCAAGAATAAAACAAAAAAAAAGTATTTTCATGCCATTGCTTGCCATACATCATTTTTCTTCATATCCATCTTCACATCCACATCCACATTCATCATAAACATCCCTCATCACCAATCACTGCGCCCCCATCTTCTCCGCCGTACTCATCAGACTGCCAATAAACGTCGTAATCAACCGACTCTGCACCGCCACAATATCCTCTGGCACCAGCCAAATCGTCGCCCCCATCTTGCGCGCAATGCTAATCGCCAGCTTCGCATTCTGATAGCATTCCTCGTCGTTGCGGCCGGGCGCCACGAGATCGTAGTCGACGTACGCCGGCTTCATGCCGGCCAGGACATCGAGCAGGAAGACGGCATTGGCGAGGGACGAGTCCTTGAAGGAGCGGACTTGGGAGGATTTGCCCGCCTTGCGGGCCATGTCGTTGGCCCATTTGATCATATCCGCGTCGGCGATTTCCTGCTTGCCTAGCCGTTGGGCCAGCCCGTTGAGCGTCGAGACAATGTCCTTGCGCATCAGTTGCCACACGAGGCCGAGGGTGAGCGTGCGCTGGCCGTCTGTAATGTCCGCGCCCTGGATACCGGGCAGACTAAACTGCACCTGTTTGCCTAGTTCCACCGCGTAATTCGTGTTCTCGAGCGCCTTGAAGCGCATGAGCTCCTGGCCTTCGCGGGGCTTGTTGACATGTCTCCAGTTTACGCTGCCGGGAATCACCTTGTCGTAGGCCTGCAGAATGACGGTGCCGTCCTTGAGGTCTTCGTAAAACGATTGAACCACCGGTTTCACGTCAAGAGAATTAAGCCACAGGGTAAAGACACGGGCTTCGCGTTCGCCTGTCGCGTCGAAATCGTCAATCTCCGCCTTTTCTTCTTCGGTAATCGGGTCGAGGCAGGGGTGCGTATTGAACAGGTTGGCGACAAAGGCGAGGTTAAGCTTGGGGTTTCCCGCTACGAGGGAGCTCGGTGTCAGGAACTTGCGGCAGCCAAGGGCATCGGCGTTTTGAAGGACACTTTCGGCGCGCTGGAGCAGGTCGGTCTGCTGTAGTGGAGAGCGTGAGCAGATTTCGGGTGCTAGTTGGCTGAGCAAGACAGTATAGTTCTCGCCATCTTTGACATCGGTGGAGAAGTTGGTGACGCTGGAATTCATTGTTAGTGTAACCCGAACCAAAGAACAAAACCATGCACTCACGTTCTGTTCCACTTGGCGTTCTTCAAGTGGTAGTTGAACCACCTCAGAAGAATCTGCTCCGGGGGCAGACGCAGGAACTGCTCGAGAGTCTCATCGTCTTCCAGCAGTCTGTACAGCTCAGGATGCAGCTTGATGTCAATCTTGCCAAGCAGACCTCTCCGGATAATCTGCCATATCAGACCCAGAATCAAATGCTCGCGGACCTCGATAATGTCTCCACTGCCAATGTTGACGACGGAACATCCAATACCCTTGGCGGACTCGATGACAATGTTGTTATTCTCGGTGAAGTGGAAGTTGTTGAGCGACTTGATCTTCTTGCCCGGCTTGTTCAGCACACGCTCGTCAATGGTATCCGGCACGCTGTCGTTGATGAGCTTGGACAGCACCAGGCCATCCTTGCAGGCATCGAACATTTCAAACGTATCCGTTGGGAAGGGTAGGCGGTCGCCAATATCCGGGTCGCCGGCGAGAACGGCATTGATGTGGCGGGTGAACTCGGTGCGCTCGTCCTCGTTGATGGTGTGGGTGACGTTTGCTGAAGAGCCTTGGACCTGGATACGACCTCCGCCTCCACCGCCGCCAATGCTGCCCTTGGAAGCGTGCCCAGGGTTCGAGGGGACACTGCCTCTGGGGCCGGTGCCAGCGCGTGGACGGGTTGGACCGGTGGACATGCGCTGCTGGGCGGGTGAGGAGTCGCGCAATTTGGAGATGAGCTGCGGCTGTGTCAGCTTCCAGTTTCCCTTTGCCTATTTGCCGAGTAGCAGCCAGCCAGCCAGCCAGAGTCAAATAGAAATCCCAACCTACATCCACATAGTCGTCCAGCTCGACGCGCCGTGAGCTATCGAGCTCGACTTCCTTCAGGGCCTGTCGCACGACATCGTACGGCTGATGCTCCGACTGCTGAGCGGCCTTGATGACGGTACTCTCGTCCAGATAGCCCTTGTCGTCGACATCGAGCTTGCGGAAGGCGTCTTGCAGGCCAAAGATCTCGGCCTGCTGGAATTGAGGGTACTTTCTGCTCACGGTGCGCGGTTAGCCAGGTCACGTCCCTCTACTCTACTACCCCGCCATCCGCAATGGAAGGCGACGAGTGCGTGTCTTTGTTTTATTTTATTTTCCTTGTCTTGTTTTTTTTTCCTTTTGCCCGTGGCCCATGGTAAGAGCAGGGTGACGTACTTTTGCAGCTTGATTACATTCATCTTCGCAACGTGGTCTGCCGAGTGCAGCAGAGTAAAAGAGCGGGCGATTTGGGTGTACCAGGCAAGGGGAGTGAAGTCGCCGCTGAGGCTGTGACTGTGACTGTGACTGTGACTGTGACTGTGACTGTGACTGTGACTGTGACTGTTGGTGCTGCTGGTGCTGGTGCTGGTGTTGATATGGCCGGTGCGGGATGTGGTATGGCTGGTGCCTAACAGCTCAGCCTCAACCTGAGTTGCGCGTCTGTCCTCTCTGAATTTGCCCACCCGATGACGACTGCCCCGCCAAGTCGGGCAGCTGCTGTCGAGAGGAGGCAGTCGCAACCAGCCCACCGCGCCCTGATTGGCCACGTGCAGCACCCTGCAACTCGCCGCCAGCATCCTTCCTTCACCCTTCACCGCGATCCTCTTCTCGCCTCGTGTCCTGCACGGTCCTTGGGCGTGAACGGGGAAAAGGCCGGTATGGAACTTGCCTGGCTAGACCAACACCGAGAAAGCGAAAGGACCAAGAAGGGGAGTAAGAAACGAGTGTGATGGGCCTCTTTTTGCGCTGGCTGCCCAATTTCCCACAGGGAGGCGGCTGTCGGACAACTTATCTATGTGTCTAGGAGTACTACTTGCCTACCTACCGCCCCGTCCGGCAGGCATACCGTGTGATACATATTTTCCCTCTTGATGGCACGTTCCTGCATTGCCGACTGCATGCCTATTCTAATTCCAGCCTGCCCTGAGCCAATCGCAGCCCCGTGTTTCGACGAGGCTGCATGAAACTGCAGATTTTCCATTGCAAGCCTGAGCGCGGGGGGCGCGTGAGACAAAGAAACTCCTGACGCCTGCATAAGAGAGCCGGCACTACCGTCTGCAGTCTCTGAACTCCCGTCTCTTTTCCTCTGCCAACCCGACCCATCTTTTCTGCGCCCTCTTCGGTCTTCAAATCACGACGCGGATTCGAGTCTTGGGACTTCACTTTCTCGGTCCCTTACCACCTGGGGGTTCGGTTTACCAAGCTTTCAGCTTACCCCCTACCTGGCCCTCCTGGCTTCTTGTTCATCTACACAGGTACATATCATGGATTCATGCTGACCCGCGAACTGCCGGCGAATACGATGACAGGTGCAAACACTATCCGAGCTACCTGTTGCACGTTCTTTCCAGGGAGAAGGAGACATGGACATGGCCATGATCCATTGTACCTACTACCTACCCTAGGTACCCTATCCTACGCGCACGCTGCACCTGACGTTTTACATGCCATCAGCATACACAGTACCTTCCCTATCCACACCTACCTTACTTTACTTGACATCCCCATTCATGGCTGCCCCTATTCGCATCACCTCTTCCTTCACACCTGGCTGCGTACGTACCTACCTATACCCCCCCTCATTCCAACTGCCATGCATAGCACGCACATCAAGACATCATGCAAAGCTTTCTTGTTTGTTTGTTTGTTTGTTTTTTAGAAGAAGAAAAAAGAGCTTTTGATTTTCCTTCCTCATCGTCCCTAAGGTCGACGTCGCCGGCTCGTCAAATTGAAAGCAAAAAAGAATATTCAGGCCACACTATCTCTCCCCACATGACTCCACAGCGGCTCATGTATTTTTTCCAGCTCGCTCAGTCCACCCACAGGAAACAATATGGCCAAAGACCTTCTACAAGCTCGACTGCGGCTCTTCAAACAACCATACTTCCATCAACGCGTAACAGTCCTTCCCATTCGTCTACGCCTGCCCATTTGCCCGCCGTGCTATGCCAACACAGCGAGAGCGAACAGGTAAGAGAGGGAGTTTGTGACGCCTTGTCGTCGGTCGCTTTGCCAGCCATGTGTCCAGTATTAGCGGAGATTATGATTTTCCCCCACGTCGAGCAAGTGAGTGTCCGGCAACAACGCGCCACGGGCGCCGACTTTACTCGCACTATTCAACCACGTCAAAGGTCGAGAAAAGGGTCGTGAAATAGTACAGAATCGGCATCAGAAAGGCAAGCTTGGCAATCAAGCATACTGCGAAGACGCATGCCGAATGCAGGAGTCGTATATCATGAGAAGGAGAGTTCGAGATACGCTTGGTCCGTCGAAAGCAACCCAAACAAGCAGACAATCATCAAGTTCGTCAATGCACAATGGCGCAGAAATGTAACAGGAAATAAGAATAAACAATAGTAGACACAAGGAAAGGCTCTGCATCTTCCAACGAAAGATGGTGTAGAGGTAGTCAGGTAATCGTAATGTTTCGGTGGTTTTTGGTGTATGTGATGTCATGGCAGGTGAAGGCGAGGTTGACGGGATCCATCCGAGTGAGTCGCTTACAGACGACGGCAGCAAAAAACCGCTTCAGGATCCAGACACTAAAACTTCGACCACCGTCTAAGTGCAAAAAATGCAAATCAGTAGTCTTCCTCCGGTACGACGTGTTGCTCACGTGAAGCGTGTTACCTCCGGGCGCGTTGTGCGGCCAGGGTGTGTGCGCGTTGGAGGCCAGGAGAGGGGTCCTGCGCGTAAGTTTGGCCGACAGCACCGCCTTCCATCGTCTTGCGTCTTTTGAGGCCGCCCATGTCGTCACCTTGAACACTGTCAGGACGATACGTCTCTGCGTCCTCTTCGTCGCGCCCACGCTTGCCAGAAGAGTTGACTCCATTCGTGGGAGCATACCCTTGGCTCGCGTATTGCGGAACAGCACCAGGACCCTGGTATGCATCATGAGCAGCGTTGCCATTAGGAGCGCCTCTAGGATCGCTCATGACGTTGTACAGGTTGCTAGAGGGTGGTGCCTGTCGTTGTGGTGTAGGATAACTAGAGCCCCACTGAGCTTGACCGTTAGTCGCCGTTCGTGGGGTCGCACGCCCAGATCCGTTCTGATGAGGAGATCCCGTCATTTCGGGCGACAGATGCGTATGATCGGCGTGCATTGGTCCCGGTGGACCGTTGGGGTTATACCCATAAGGTCCTCGATTTCCGTTGTACGGAGCACTGGAATGCGTGTACTCGTTCTCCTCCTCGCCACCTGCTGGAGGGGCTGCAACCTGTTCGTTACCCTGTGGCATCATCCCATCAGACGCCTTCACCTCGCCCTCTTCTGGAACATCGCTAATGCGGGAAGGCGGCGCCATTTCTGTCTTTGGGTATGCATTATCCGGCCGGTAGCTCATCATCGGTTGGCCTTGTGCATACTGGCTTGGCTGGGCCGGAGGTGCAGAATACATGGGTCGCGAACCGTCATAACTCTGAGACGAGCCATACGGAATACCTTGTTGCACAGCACCTGGCGGCGTGCTTGCAGGTGTCGTGGGCACGGAGCGCGCGTTGCTTAGCCCGGTATCAATGGACAGAGGCTGATTACCCTGAGGATGTTGTTGCACATTAGCTCCATTCCATTCGTACGAACTGCCTTGATTACCCATACCCATCATGCTCGAGGCACTCGTGGGTGGTGTTGGGAAGGTATGAGCGCGGTCGAGACTGGGTCGACCAGAGGATGGGTGGGGTTGGATGGCATGCGGAGGCTGCGACATGGCGGACCCTACCGAATTCGTCATCGAATGGTGATGATGCAGGGACGGGGCCTGTGATGTCGTTGGTCCTGCCATGTATCGTTGCTGAGTCTGCATAGAGTCAGGTCTTCGATTACGATCGACAGCAGCCATGGCAGCGCCTCCTACACTTGCCCTCGTCTGGTTTGAGGGGTGATAGAGCAGAGCCCCAATGTCGTGGACAAACAGGGGGTACAGCTGCTCAGTGATCTTTTCTTTGTTCGCAAACTCGAGAGCTCGTTCGAAGGGGATCCTTTTGAGCTATCAGTACTACAGTCTGAAGAGGAGAGGATAGGACGTACCAAACACCCTTGAGGTGCATTGGCCCGATCTTGACCACATGGCGCGTCTTCTCACTTTTCAAGATGCCATCTCTGCGACCTCGCGTCATTCCTGCTACGTTGAGTAGTTTTGTCCCATTGATCATGTGATTGTCTGTCACGAGGTCAGTCCTGCGGCAAATCAAACATCATCGGAAAGCGCATCTACCTTCACGGCGAGCAACGCACACGCCTTTCGCCTCGACCTGGAAACAAAGACTGCCCTCGTCTTCCCACAAAGTAGCCGTTACACGGGGCTTCATGCCTGGAGGTGCCACTTGGCCAGTATGATCAAAAGTATGACTCTGATAGCTCTGGGAGCCAGGCATGGATGAATTTGGGGCGCCCGCAGACATGGCTACAGTGGTCAGCATATGCACCTGTACGGTCCTGGGATCTTCAAGCCTACCTGGTAGCTGGAGGGTGGATGGCACCAGCGCGTTGTTCATGGACGAAGATGCTGGTAGCTGCGATGGAACGCCGTTGTTGTATGCATACGGATAACCTGTGGGCTGTCCTCCATATTGGTGTTGCTGTTGTTGCGGCTGCATCATCGACGGCTGATGTGGGTACGAGTAATGCGAAAGCCCTGCTGGCGGGCCCGAAGCGGGCGCATGAGCTGCAGTAGACATGTGGGGTTGATGCACGTCAGCATACGGCTGCATCTGGTTCATGCTGTTGTATCCAGCAGGATTGAATCCGTAGCCTTCCTGGGTTCCGTACTGGGAGCTTTGCGTGGACTGCGCGCTTCCGGGCTGGCCACCGCGATGCAGAGACTGGGGAATCTGTTCGGGTGAAGGCGTCTTGAACCCAGCTGCGTGACCGTGTGTCGATGCAGCAGCGTACGATGTGTTTGAACTTGCGCCTCCCGAGCTAAATGAGCCGCCTCGAGGGGATGAGGAATTGGACGAGCCGCTCGTGTGCGGCTGGATCTGGGCAAGGGTGGGGAGTCGCTCACTTGGTACTGCAGATTTCAGGGCAAAGTTCTGATTATACCAGGTGTCGACGGGGCCGCGGGCGTGAACCGACGAGATGGACGGGAGCTCCAGCTTTACGGTATTGTCACGGGTTCGTGTAAGAAGAGGTAAAGGCTCGGGTGATGTCGAAACTCGCCTCACGGGTCGTCTCGAGTCAATCAATGGCACAGACTGATGATCGTCTAGAGCAGTAGGGTGATGGAGCAGCAGCAGCAGCAGGAGCGTGAGTGGAGCGCGGACTGCTGCGCACGTAGCCGGTCAGACGCTGGTCAAGGTGTTTATAGCTCGTGCAGACGGTGGATGGGGCGAATAATCTACACCGCAAGTCAGTTGCTTGTTTGCTCCTAGAAGGTGAGCTCGGTAAGGCGCAGCGGAGCCAACCAGAGGCAGGCAGCCACGTGGGCAAACGGCCCCACGGGAGCAGATGCATCTGTATAGAGGCCGCAGCGATGGAGAAGAAAAATTGGGGGGGGGAGTATACTTAAGTTTCAAGGGCAGGGCAGGGGGTTGCCATTGCAAAAAAAAATTTAGGAGAAAGGTCGAGCCAGGGGGGGGGGGGGGTAAGGGACGGCAAGACATACCACAGGAGCAGTGCGCAAAGGCAATATATATGCAGGTTGCGAACGGGGCGGAGCCGAAAGACTAACTTGGGTCGCTTGCAAACAATGCAGATGAACCAAAAAAGCACGTCGTTACGTCGTGGAAATCGTGAGGATGATTGGGGCGCGCGTAGCAGGACCAGGCAAAAGGCAGGAATGGATGAATGCTGAGCAGGAAGAATAACTGGGCGGGTGTGCAGCAGGCCGGAACATAGACTGTGCAGCGTCTAGTCGTGGGCGGATGTCGTCGTCGTAACCGGTCGTAAAAGTCGTTGGGCACGTTGTGGATGGAGTGCGGGCCGAGCTATATAATCGATACTGATGGCTGGGGCGAGCACAGCACTGCTAAAGAAACACTACGCGACCCACGCGTCAGTGGCAGCTCGTGCAAGAGAGAAGGCACAATGGGCATTGACGAAAAAGAAGCAGCCTCGGCCAGTCAGTCTATTGCGAGAAACAAGAACCACAACAGCCGCGCAAAGAGAAGAAGAAAAAAACAGAGGGGGGGAGCAAGAGAGAGAGAGAGAGAGAGAGAGAGAGAGAGAAAGAGGGAGGGAGAGAGGGTGTGTGGGTGTGGGTGTGTACGTTGTGTGTGAGTGAGTGGGTGAGTAGGTGAGCGAGTAAGAGCGTGAGAGCCTGGCAGAGGGAGGGGGAGCTTTGTTTGCAGGCTGCGGGTGGGGTGGGGGGAGGCGGGAAGGTGTGTGTACTGACTGTACTCTCTTGCTGGCAGGCGGAGGTGGTTGGGATGGGGGCCTTGACTCTAGCGCCTGGAGGGGCGTGGACCAACCAGCGTGGCTGTAGATAGGCGAGAAAGAGTACAGGACGGTGGAACGGGGAAAAACGCTGGGCAAGTGTACCCGGCCACGACCACGGGAAGGGGGGGCCCACCACAGCAGCAGTACACAGGACAGTACACAGTACACAAGTACAAGTATGTACCTAGGAGAGCAGGAGCAGAAGCAGGAGCAGGAGCAGGAGCAGGAGCAGTAGCAGTAGCAGTAGCAGTAGCAGCGACAACAATGAGCACTGCTGTTGCTGATGTCGTGGGGGTTGAAGCTATTGCTGTTGCTGCTGTCGCCGGTGTTGCTATTGCTGGTGTGGCTACTGCTGGTGTTGGTGCTGGTGCTACTCCTGCTGTTGCTGCTGCTGCTGCTGCTGCTGCTGCTGCTACTATCACTGCTACTGCTGCTGTTCAATGCAGACGAGAGCCGAGTGGATCGAGGCGGGAGCAGATAGCCCTAAAAGAGAAACGGATTGGAAACTACAGTACTTACCACACAACTCTCTGGTCTGATGAATGATCTTGCCGTCACGTTTTCTTCAGCGAGCGGGAGCCCTCTTGGGAGAAGGAGTGCAGAAAGCACGGCGACGACGGCGGCGGCGGCGGTGGTAGTGAGGAAGGGCGGAGAAGGAGGGGCAGTTTGCAGTGCGGTGCAATGCAGTGCAGTGCAGGGCAGGGTGGAAACAGGGCAAAGCAAAGCAGAGCAGAGCAGAGCAGAGCAGAGCAGAGCAAAGCAGAGCAGAAAAGCAGAGCTGGGTTGTGGAGAAGAGAGTGGTTCTCGTCAGCGATGCTGCAGGATTCTCTGCAGCGCTCACAAGCAGAAGCAGGCAGGCCGCAGCTAAGAGGGCTGAGCGAGACAGGCGAGCAGTGCACGCCCCGCCACGCAGTCCGTCCTGACGAGGCCGCTTTTTCGCGCGGCCGGCCTGTCCAATTGCCTCAGCACTTTGCTTCGGCGCGCTATCGACGCCGCCTGTTGGCTGCTGGCTGCTGGCTGCTGGCACGTTGATGTGCAGAAGCTGGAAGGCCAGAGGCTGCTGCAGCGGCGGGCCGGCGCGAGTTTGCAGAAGCGGCGACGACGGGTAATGCACACGCAAGAAAGATGCCGCAGCGGAAAGCCCGGTGAGCAGCCCAAGAGGCCAAAAAGATACAGATTGCGTAGATGTGCGGTGGGGGGGAGGCGTGGGAGGAGGGGGGAGGGGGGTTTAGGTTCTGTGCATAAGTCCAGTAGTAGTAGTAGTAGTAGCAGCAGTAGCAGCAATAATAGTGTAGTGGGAGTAGTAGTGTATTAGTAGTGGTTGAGGTGTGTGGTAGTGGTGGTAGAAGCAGTGATAGTAGTAATAGTAGTAGTAGAGTACCAAAGTAGGTAGGAACTGAACTGCACCCTACATACCAACCTTCTCTGCATACACAGTGCGCACCACACACACCACCACGCACCACCACCATCATCACCACCATCATCATCATCACCCACGAGCCGCGGCCCTCCCCCATCCGAAATTCGTGTCGATAGTGGACACATCCATCACATCGGGCCTGGTGCCAAAGGCAAGCACCGTGGCATGGGGGAGGGGGGTGGGGAGGGTGGAGGGGGTGTGTGTGTGTGTGTGCACTCTGTGTGTGTGCGCCGGCCGACCCACCACCACCACACTCCTCAGCCTGGACCGCATCCTGCTTCCTCCTCAGTCAGTCCCGTGAAGGCAGGCTGTTTCGCGCTCCATGGTTGTGCACAGACGTCGTCGGCCATGGGTGGGTTCATACCCATACCCTGCCCTACCCTACCCTACCCTACCCTACCTACATACAATACATACCTACTGGGACATGCTGACTGGGCTGATCCGTCGACAGTGCGGTTGACAAGGGCGCTGGGTTGCGTGGGAGGAGAAGGGGAGGGAGAGGGCAGGGGGGTAGGTGGCCACTATACAATTCACTGCAAGTGTACAGACAGTAGATAGGATAGACACTATACTACTATGGTATGTACAGTAGACAGTAGGTAGCATGTATGTATCCTATCTATTGGCCCCTGGGATTAGGGGAGGAGAGGGGGGAGGGGGAGGAGGAGGCTAGAGTAGTAGAGTCCACCAGTCTGACAGGGACAGGCCCTCGAGAGCTAACACAAGGTTCGACGTTCCACTTCCACTTCCATATTCAGCGACGGTTATGCGCAACCGAGCCTTTGCCCTCCTCCCACTTGCTGCCACCACCTGACGACAGCAAGCCCGCACAACTGGCACAGCACCGCACCGCACCGCATCACAACCGAATTGAATGCTGATGCAATGCTCCATCTATCCCATGTATTGTCCTTAGGTACCTAGCAACCTATCTACCTACCCATCTACCTAGCTATTTACCTACCTAACTACCCATCTACCTACACACTGTGTGTACCGGTTACCTACTCCACTACTCCACTCCGCCCTACCCTACCCTACTATCCTACCCTATGCTCCGCCTTCGCTGCTTTGCTCCAGAGCAACAATACATACTGCACATACATATGCTCGGGCCGGATCTGCTGGTCATGCTTAGCGTCTCCGCCTTGTCCCCCAGCCTTCCCTCTCAACAGTGGCAACTTTGCAAGCATGGGGTGGTTGCGCGCTCCAAACTTAGCGGGCGCCTACTTCTCTTCCACAACAAAAGCGCGCTGCTTCCTGAATCCTGACTGAGGTATCGGCTGGCCTCCCGATAGGGATAAAGACGGCTAAATGTCCATGGCCACTCATGGCACTCGGAGATATTTGACGCGCAGTTGCGGGCAAACTGGCACTGGATATGGAGCAGCACTCGACGACGGGCAACTTTGCACGCTGCACGTCCTTGCCTTAGTCAGCCGCGTCGTGTCGTTGGTGGAGGTACGAGCACAAGCGCTGCCCGTGTGGTGTAGAGTTGCCATCCCAGCCAGCGATCGGAACGCAGAGACCCTGTTGAAACAGCTTCAAGTCACGGGCGTCAGTGCTGGCTGAGTGGCCCGCCTGGCGCGATCAAAGTGCACCGCAGTCTGCGACTCAAGCCTACGGAACCTTCGTGGGTACCGATGCGAGAAAGCAGAGCAAAGCACACTTGCCTGTGCCGGACAGCCAGCCAGCCAGCCAGGCTGATTCTGAAACGAGCTCCACAGCCGCGGCATGCCCATCTGCTCAGCATGGCTGTCATCCTTCCGTTTTCAAGACGGGCGCTCGATGCTTTGGGCAGGACGAGGGCTGGCCGCAGCAGTGTCTTCAGACAGTGAGCCGATGCCAGCTCAGGCTAAATGACCGCGATCCAACAGTCGCAGGGATTGCGTGTGCCCGAAAGCGAGCGGGATAGACGGACGGTAGACCGTGCCAGCCAGCCCGCTTCCTCTTCTCTGCGGGAGAAAGCGTTCAGACCTCGCTGGCTGCCCTGGTAGCCATGCTGGCAAGTCCTATCCGTCCGAGAGCTAGACTGCTGTACGGACCGTCTCTCTCCCTCGAGCGCAAGCAGGAGGCCAGTGTTCGACGTCCGTTGCGCCCACGCGAGACGACCTCAGACGACCAGCACTGGGAGCATACCCGAGGAGCAGCATGTGCAACGTGGAGACTCGAGATGGGTACGACAGCCATGTCATGTCAGCGGGGTCGCGGCCAGCGGAATAGACGAGCCACACCAGGACAACGAGCGCGCCGAGGCGTCCTCAGTCTCCACTCGCAATGATCTGGAGCACGTCGAGAGCGAAATCCATGGACAAACGTGCCGATTGTACCACCAGGCCCAGTGTTGGATGTGGACGCAGTGGGGCATGATAGGATCATAGTCGTTGCGGTGAGTAGATGCGCTGGCGAAGCTAGCCGGATCCAGAAGGGTCCAGCTCAAGTCACGCCTTCTGCCTTTTCACTGCCTCGCCCTCAACAGCCACCCGCACACCACACACAACCTGCGTCAATATTCTTCACGCTGTCTCGCGCTCACAATCTAGGGTCCCAGTTCCTTGGATGGGGCGTGGTACAGCACAAACAAGGGCATTCCTTTCGGCCAGCTGAAACATGCTTCAATATAGCGCCCTGTAGGTTGGCGCCACCATGTACATGCCATTACCTCTACCAACCCAGTCGATCGTACATGCTCCCGTCCTCGCTGCCAACCCGCACATCCATGGCTTTTATCCTGCAAATCCCACTTGCACACTCTTCTACGGAGTACAGTTGCATGACATAGTGGGGAAATGGGAAACGGGGAATGGGGAAACAGGAAATGATGAATGGTAAATGGTAAAAGTCAGACTTCGTCCGTGTGCGGGCCATCATCCATGCGAACGGTGACAGCCTCTTGAGACTGCGCGCCAGCCACTTACCAGAGAGAGCAAAGGCCCCCCCTCCCCCCTGCTCAGGTTGTCGTCTCGGGCGCCAAACAACTGTTCGCATCTCGTTCAACCCCTGCTAGCCGCGGGGCCTCTGATATCCAATCCTCAAGCAATCCTATCTTTGCAAGACGTGGCCCAAGGTCTGGTCCAGAACGGTACCTCTGACACCTGTGCGACCGGTGACGGCATCAGACGAGGAGTGGATGTTGATGGCATCATCCGGCGGGCCCCCATCCACGGACCACAGAGAGACGCTCAAAGCCATGGAATCCATTGCAGTCTGGTGTTACCATTGGCAAGCACGCGAATTGCAGTCAAGGTAACAGGTAGGCGCACAAGTCTCAAGCGTCCCACGCAGTACTACGCACGGGAAGTCTGCGCTTCAGACAAGCCCGTCAGCGAGAGCTTAGGTCCTACCTTTGCCGCGTGGACTCGGGTGTCTGGGAGCTATGCACAGGTGGAAATAAACGTGCAGCGCAGCCGGCGCGATGTGGGAGCGGATCGTGGAGAAAAAAAGGCCCGGGCGCCATCTCGACTTGCAACTTTGGCTGACCACCACCACCCGTTGTGGATCCAATGCCATTGTGAAAGCGATGGAGCTGTCAGAAACAACAACACAACTTGACCAAGGGAGCCATGCACGGGTAGGATTCAGGCCCCCTCAGCCCCTCCAGCCTTGGAGCACATGACGTGGACTCTATTCTCAGACGTCGGCAGGGTTTTTCTTGTTCAAGGGCGAGTCCTGTCGTAACAGCCATGACTTCTCAGCACAATGAATGTTTCTCGTGTGCCTATCGGCTACCTACGCAGTGGGGTCTGTGTGCCATTTCATCCGCCTAAGCAGGAAGGCCAGTCCGAATGGGGGATGGCAAAAGCGGATTCGGTCTATTGAACCCCACGAGCCTCGTTGTCTCACTCGCTACAGCTGGTGATCCCCCCTTCCCCAATCCTCCATTAACAAATTGGGGACGAGGGGAAATGAAGCAAGACGAGTTGATCTTCAGACTTTGGACAACATCTTGCCTACAATACCTACTAGCACAGTCTCGAACCACGACAACACGGGCACAAGCGTTCCTGCAGCTGTACGGTAATCCCGCGATACAGCTGAGCTTGGACGACTTGAGCAGTACGATTGGCTGCGATTCACCTGCACCTACCCGTGCTGCATACATATGTACATATGTATCGTAGTACATAGACATGCGTGTGATGTACAGCCTAGGGTATCCCTGCGTCCTTGTCCAAGTATGTACAATGTGAGTACATAGATAGTGTCTTGTAGTGGGCCAAAAGCCCGTGCCCTTGGGTTTTCCTTGTCAGTCCAGGATCTCTGAGCATGAGACCCGAGCGAACTGCTGCAAGACCCATCGATGCACATCGTCGCACAGGACACATTCGCGTTGCGTTGCTGAACATGATACATGTGCACAGCGAGGTTGGACTTTGTCTGCACATCTCCTTTTGTTTGTTACCACCCCCCACTCCCCAGATTTCTGAGCATTGGAAGCATGACGGCGAGCATCATCGCAACTCCGGCCAAGGCCGATCAGAACAGAAGCTTTCCTTTGCCAATGGGAGCTGGCCACGTCAGAAGCCAGCGAAGCCGTTTATCGGGCTATCGACGGCGCAAGCAAGCCACGACCACTGCTCCTTGCTCTGACTACAGCTCGTGGGCTGCATCAGCGTCTTCTGATTCGTGCATCTTCACTCTTCACACTTGGTCCGTGTCCCCCCTCCCTCCCCCCCCCCCCCCCCAGCGTCCAGCATCACGAACTTGCGCCCCACTCTCCGTCTTCGTCTTACCTCACCACGGGGCCACTCGCTTGCTGCGTTTTCTAGTCTATTCCAGATCGAACTCCCACACGCCTTTTCGACCTCCTCAACAGACTTCACCATTGACAATCGAAGTGAGGGGGGCGCGCGCGGAGGGGGTTCAGCACATCTACTCGTTTTGTCGTCAAGGCACAATGGCACCCGAATGATGGCTGCCTTCGGCGCTACACCGCTTGTCTATCATTATTGCCGCACCGGAAAGGATTTTGGAAGAAGAGGTAGGGATTCGATAGTATAAACAGCACACGGAAGTAAGAGCTGGATGACTAGGGTAGGGATGACGGCCGTTTGGCCCCGCTTGCGCCGCCATATCATCATCACATGTACCTAGGCATGTATCCGTATCCCTTTCCTCACTGTGACGAAGACCAAGTACCGGCAGCAGAATCCCAGAGGGTCCTTTGATCTCAGACATGGTCTGAAGAGACGGATGGGCACGCTTATCGAAGCCCACTGCCCTGCAGTATCTTGACGGCTGCAAAAGCAAGCTGCACAAGTAGACTGCTGTCTCGCTGCGAGCCAGCGGAGCCGCTGAACATCACATTGCGTTCGCTTGTCCTGCCGCAGGTTACGCACGACATAGCTACCTGCATCAATTGCGCGCCTGGCCGTTATGTGGGCTACACTGCAGTCTGCCAGACGGCGTGTAGTAGCGGCACCACCCACCCTCATTCTGTCAAAATCTATTCGACAGGTCTCTGTCCAAAATTTGAAATTACATACAGCATCTGTCCACCAAGATTGCTGCACTAAGCAAGTCCTTTTGCACGAACATGCGTTCGAGGGAAGCCCTCGCCCCAGTTATGCATGTTCATTCTTCACTTCATGGACATGGGCTCTTGCGCGAATTCATCCAGCCGTGCGATTTGCTTCGACAATCATCGGCATCGCCACCAGGAATCTGGGTCCATCGCGACCTACTGTGGGTGTATGCGAGTGCGGATCGCGGCGACCTGCCGTTCCGCAGGAATACACTACGCCTTGATGTCGTCAATTAGCCATAATACACGCCGAGAGTAATACATGGTACACCAATTACGCTGATCGAAGGGCCGGCAATGTCATTATCGTTTAGAGTATATTAGCTTACCTTCACACCAAGACTAGAATCTCACGACGCCCGACTCCGTGCCCGAGGCTTACCGTAAATCATCGCACAGTACGCAGCAAGTTGGCTAGAGAAAGCATAAGTGTAAGATGATAGCACCCAGCAGACTGGTAACGGGCGGTTGGATAATGTCAAACGTTAATATCGCGTACATCCTGCAATCTATTCCACACGGGAACTCGCTTTCCCTCGTCTTTTTCCCTTTTGCGACTCCGTAGTAAGCCTAAGTTGCCTGATGGGATCCAACTTGGAACAAATTGGAAAATCGATTGTATCAACCATCTCGCCTAGCTCCATCAGACCAACCCCACTCTACCACCGTCCATGTTCGACTCGCTAGCCATTCCGCACCGGCAACCTCCCAGAATAAATAATACCTCACGCCAAGCCCGCAGAAGATACGTCCAACCTCTTGGTTCTGGGAGACGCGAGTCCAACACTGGTAGTCTAGGTGGTTCACGCACCTCTTGACCCGGACTATGCTCCTGATTCATCCAATCCTTCCATCCATCCATCTATCCGTTCGTTCTTTTTTTCTCTCATTCATTCCAACCTCGGCCCACAACTCCTTGTTTTTCTTCCTTCTCCGTGTCCTAGGTGTAGGTTTGGTGTATCGACCTTACTAGCTAACTAGCCTGCGATCGTACCACATACCTCCCCTCCCTCCTTCCGCTCTTTTTTTCTCAAGACTTGCAACGTACACATCCATCGCTCATGCCGATCCCAACCCCATCAGGTCCTTTTCATGTGCTTTTTTTTTCTAATCATGCCTGGGATTTTGATTTTTTCTCGAAGAAAAACAAATCTGGGCTAGTATGGTTTTCACTCCGCTCCTTTTGTTGCTTGGTGTCTTGTTTCGGCTTTCTGCTTTCTGCTTTCTACGGTTTGTCATTTTTGTTTTTTGCTGCTGTTTCTGGGCTGGAGCGAGCCCCGGTTTACGCTACTGTATCGTGACCCGGGGTTATGCCGTGGATTGCTTGGGGTTGGGGTGGGTGGGGAGATGGAGATAGAAGGGAGATTGGGTAGGTATGGGAAGGTGGGTGGGTGGGTATGTGTGGTCACTGGTAGGTGCAGTGTATATGCAGCTCCACGTACCCCCAGAGGGAAATCTCAAGGGGATGCGGGTCGAGAGGTGCTGTGCTCTGCTTTGTGGACGGTGGTGATAGTGGTGGAGTACGGACAGTACAATGGTGGAATGGTAGGGTATTGTGCATGACAAGATGGGATAAAAGAAGATTAATTGTAGATAGAAGTAGTCATACTAATACTGTATCCATAATATCCACCTACGCAATACTTTCTTCCACCCCGATTAAGTGCGTTATCGGATAGGAAGCCTTTCCACGCAATATCGGATTCGCCCACGTACTTTCTTTCACAAGCCTATCTACATACATCTCTGAATATACACCAGTGTGAAATACTTCGCTACCATGACTTTGAAAGCACTTGGTTATGTTAGTGGGCTGTTGCTATGATATGTAGCCTCGGGATTAGATATGTATACATGAACTACGATAACATTGTGGGAACAAGATACAGCGCAACACCACCACGTTTACTATTGAATTACATAGTGTTACTACGCTTGCTGTTGATTATACACAGCACAAATGTATACATTTCATCTTGTTATATCTACTGCCCGTTAATATTAATGTCTAGGGTAGGCTCTTTGCTTGACTTGGTGATGTAGGTCTGCTGAGTAGTCAGGATTGGTGTCGTATGTGTGGTGTGGTGTGGTATGAATGTGGATGTTTGAGGGCTTGGGTTTGCGTGGGTGTCTGTTTTTTAATGTTATTTGTGGTTCTTTGGGTGGGAAGGGGGGTTCATGGTTGGGGTAAGAGGTTGTGAGTAGCTGTGGTGAAGTGTGTTGTAGTGCATTGATGAGGATGAGTTAGTGGAAAGTGGATGGTGATGGGAGAAAGTGGATACATATGAAAATAAGGGAAAAATGGATTGGAACTGCTTTCTTTCCTTGAGGTTAGGATTTTTGTTGGTGATGTTTTTGAGATGTAGGGAGGCTGATGAATTTTGTGCGTCGTGTCTTGTTTGGACTCTGTAACGTTCAAGTAGGTACTCTACCAAACACAGAAGCACACAAAAAAACTTTATGGAACAATTAATGGATTAATGACCCTAAGCATAACCATGACTTCAAGTCCACTATCACCCTGTAGGTTTAGAGCTGATAACTCGACTCCAACGACAACTAGGCACCATTCACTCTCAACCCACCGAACCACCCCACAACTTCCCCTCCATCAACCGCACGTCATGCACCATGCGAACACACGTTAGCACCCACGCCCACCTCGCAAAACCACAAAAACCCCCAACCACAGCTAATCAAACCTGAAACGCACGCAAACTAAAACAAACCAACCGGGTCACACATGCGCACATGCCTACACATGTACCTATAGGTATACACAGTACCTACATATACCTACCTACCTACCTACAGCAAGACATGTCGAGTAATGCACCGACATGCATACGCATAACCTTCCGTCGCGTTCGGTGTCGGTGTCGGTGTCGGTGTCGGTATGGGGGTTTGTTTTGATCGCGTGCATGTGTTGGGTTTTTGCTGTGCAGAGAAAGTAGGGCGGAGATGGGAGTGGGTTGTTAGGGGAGAGTAAGGGATGGGTTGGTTGGTGGGGGAGGGGGTGGTGGTGGTTGCCCTGCGTTGCTGGGTCCGTTGGAGTTGGGGTTGGGGTTGGGGCGCGTGGGCGAGATGAAACATTTGATGTGGGAGTAGGTCTTTTGGTGAGCTGTGAGTGCTTGACTTGTAAGCACTTTGCTTATATGCATTTTGTCTATATGTACTTTATTTGTATCTGCTTTAGTAACAGTTAGTAACTACTTTGCTCGGAAACAAATTGCTTGTAGCTGCTTTGCTTGTAGCTACACTACTTTGCCTGTAACTCCTTTGCTTATCACTACTTTGCCTGTAACTACTTTGCTCGTAAACAATTTGATTCTAACTACTTTGCTTATAACTAATCTGCCCATCATCACTTTACTTAGAAGCATGGTAATAATTCTGTGTATATGGCTCTCTTGAGTTGGCACTGGATCAAACATTCCTCACTGTAGCATTAATCAAATCCTTTCTCATCATTATTGAAAATGCGCTTCTCTCTCGCCATGATCTTCCTCACAGCTGTTGGCTTTGCTCACGGCAGGATACCCTGTAATGGAAAATCTCTTGGAGGCGCTATGTATCTATCTGCTCCCCAAGTTTTATTTCAAACTGGTAATAACTGGCGTACAGGACCGTGTCGAACGTCTGCAGACTGCTGCAGATGCGACATTGCTGATGGGAGCGGTACATTGAGCTGCGAGAGTCAGTATTCCCTTCTCTTCTCCTAGACTCTGTACTACTTGACTTACATTGTACTGACTGCGCATGCAGTTGAGAAAGGTCCTAAATATCAAACGTGCGTCGTTTCTGGATATACGGAGTATTGCAAATAGAACAATCCCATCGCGTGCGGCTCTTAGTTGGTCCGGCAACTGAAGAATAGGTGAAAGCTAGGAGTATTCGCAAGGATCACTGGAAACCAGCTGAACAAACAAGATGATTCCTCAACGCGCCTTCTAGAAAATTTGATCATGACTTGGCATAGATCTTGGGATTTTCTGGGGCAGATGTCGGGCTCTTCGCGCTCTTAGTGTGTCCGACTCCCAAAACTGTTGCCATTGCGTGTTCACAGGACATTGAAGCTCACCCATTGCGGCTCATTCTGAGATTCCCAATTACTATTAACTACGGTAACGAGACCTTGAAGATTCACCTGTTGAAGGCCTATGCTATTGTTTCTGATGGAAATCTTGGTCTACCTGGTGACTTGAAGAACTCACATTTTTGAGTGTCATTTTTGGCCATTCTCTTTTGCTGCAACAGCCTTCGAGAAGATTATCCGGCCACACATTTTAAATCCTCACCCCATACAGATAATATGTTGAAATCCAGCGATTTTGTAACAAGTCTGTTTCACACGTACGTTTGAAGCAAAGCACGCGACCTCCCATTCAGCCGCATCGTCATTACCTAGCGCATAGGCCCTTCGACCTAGCCCCGCACTAGATTTAGCCCCATCATTGACCCCCACCCCAGTCAATGGCAGTCCATCATCCCAACTTCCTCACCGCAAGAAAGCCTTCACATCAACCCCTGTCTCGCCTTCCCTCAACCCTCACTGCGCAAAGATACAGCAAACCACCCAAACATGCCAGCCGCAGCAGATATCCTCTCTGACCCGGACATCAACCAAGCCTACGAAGATGTGCGCTCCGACAAGTCCGAGACCACCTGGCTTATCTTGAAGGCATGTTTTCTCCGCATGCCGACACGCATGACCCGAAATCGCGTGTTGAGAAGGATGTAAAGAATGAGAATTAATGTCCTTTGTTTCTATAGTACGCATCTGCAACTTCGGATAATCTCACGTTGGCATGCACCGGCACGGGCGATATTGCCGAGATGACAGAGAGTCTGGCGGACGATGAGGCGGCGTATGCGTATGTGAGAATGAAGTTGGGGAATGATGAATATTCAGAACGGGTCAAGTTTGCTTTCGTGGTCTGGCAAGGTGGGTTCCATGTATCCTTTACTTTGACACTTTCTTTTGCTGCTTGAGAGGGCTCGCGCAGATCTTTCGAGATGGAATTGTAACAAGGGGAGGATTGATGGCTCAACGATGCTAATGATACGATTAGGTGTGAACACTAAAGTCATGCGCAAGGCCAAGATGTCGTTTCAAAGCGGACAAGTCAAGCAGGTGATTCGAACGTATGCTGTGGAGATCCAGACGAGTGATAAAAAAGAGTTGGAGGCGGAGGCTGTGACGTTGAAGTTGAGAAAAGCCATGGGCGCGAATTGTAAGTACAAATCTGGAAACTCGACTTTGCAGTGGCAGAGAGCTTATGATGACGCGTAGACGACCGGCAAACAACAAATTACTAGATGTGTCGAAGTACAAAAGATACGTAGAAGAAACTGTAGATTTTGAGTTTTGCATTGATACTGTTTACTTGTTTCCCTGTGTAAGATTCCTCAAGCCATCCAACAGTCTAGTTCTTCTCATCATAGGTTCACCGATCCCAATATCATCTACAGCCTCGCTTTGTCAAGGACGTCCTCATTCGGGCAAAATATCCCCACACACTGCTCCTTGGATATGGCTCGGGGCTCCAAGAATCCGTGCACCAGATGGTGGGAGAGTTCAATGGGATATAGGGAAGATCGTAACACATTATCAGGAATTCCCAACTGCGATTTGCATGTGTAATTTCCACAACATCATGCTTTTATGACCATTACCAAGCCTCATGAAGATATTGATGGCACTCAGGTGCAAGTCCGAAAACAATGGTACTTGTGCTTGACCTTTGAGGTGTAGCATTTTGCCAGTGTTCATAGATTTTATATAGATGGATGCCCATGATACGGAGCTCGAGCTGCGATCTGATTTGCCCGATGTGGCTAGCGCGATTTCACATGGATGAATGACGCGCATGCACGGGATCGCGGGAACACGCGACGTGAAGCGTGGATTCAACCATCTCGACCACTAAAGTCCTGGCACGCGGCCAAACGCGCTCGCAGCTACTCCTGGTACTCCTCATGATTATGGTACATGTCATAATGCCCTGATATACGCCCCAAAATGTCCTCACCGGCGCCCGACTTCGCCTCGTCGTCACAGTTCTCCATCACGTCCCCGCGCTGCATACCCAAATCCAAGTTTACATACAAGCAACTGCACCAGCTCAAATCCTTCAGCCCGACAACACCTCTCCGTGTAATCGCCCACGTCGACCTCGATGCATTTTATGCGCAATGCGAAACCGTCCGCCTAGGCATCGACCCGAACAAACCACTCGCAGTTCAACAGTGGCAAGGCCTCATCGCTATCAATTACCCTGCGCGTGCTTTCGGCCTTTCGCGGCACGTGACGAGTACTGAGGCGCTGAAGCAATGTCCTGAACTCATACTACAACATGTAGCGACGTGGAAAGAGGGCGACGAGAAATGGGCATACCATGAGAATTCATTCAAAGACATGTCGACGCATAAAGTCAGTTTGGACCCGTATCGCCAGGCGAGTCGGAAGATTCTGCAATGTATCAAGGAGGCGTTGCCAGAGAAAGAGCAGCGGGTAGAGAAAGCGAGCATTGATGAGGTGTTCATGGATCTGAGCGCACAGGTGCATACTATACTCCTCGACAGATATCCTGAGTTGAGGGGCCCAGCGCCGTACGAGGATCCAACGGAGAGGCTGCCCAAGGTACCAACCACTGCGTTGGACTGGGCAGCCGATGCGCTGGTGGAAACTGGCGAGGAGGATGGCGAGGACGCCGATCCAGATTGGGATGATGTGTGTATGGTCATTGCATCGGAGATTGTCAGAGAAGTGAGGAGGCACATCAAAGATACATTGGGCTATACATGCTCAGCAGGTGTGGCGAGAAACAAGATGCTGTCGAAGCTGGGCTCCGGTTACAAGAAACCGAATCAACAGACCGTCATTCGAAATCGTGCGGTAAAGCACTTTTTGGGAGATATGAAGTTCACCAAGATCAGAATGCTGGGCGGTAAGCTGGGCGACGAGGTGGTTGCCATGTTCGGCACGGACAAGGTCAGAGACCTCATGGACCAGCCACTCGAGCAATTGAAGAAGCTGGGGGATGACACAGGAACCTGGCTCTATTCAACTATCCGCGGCGAGGACAACAGTGAAGTCAACCCCCGAACCCAAATCAAAAGCATGCTCTCGGCAAAGTCCTTCCGACCATCCATTAACTCCTTCGAACAAGGCGTCCGCTGGCTCCGCATCTTTGTAGCAGACATCTTCTCCCGCTGTGTCGAGGAAGGCGTCCTAGAAAATAAGCGCCGTCCCAAAACTATCAACTTGCACCATCGCCAAGGTGCACAAACACGCAGTCGTCAAGCGCCTATACCTCAAGGCAAGCCCCTCTCCGAAGCCATTCTCTTCGACCTCGCCAAGAACCTCCTCGCTCAAGTTGTCGTCGATGGACGAGCATGGCCTTGCGCTAATCTCTCCTTGAGCGTCGGCGGCTTCGAAGATGGCGTCACAAACAACAAAGGAATCGGTGGTTTCCTTGTGCGCGGCGATGAAGCAAAAGCCATGATGTCGACCGCAGGACGCTCTATTATGAGTAGTTCCAGCATTCACGAACGGCCATCCAAACGAAGGCGAACCAAAGGCAATATTGCAAATTTCTTTGGGCCAAAGGATGAAAAGAGGAAGGACTTTGATGCCGCACGAGCCATTTTGATGAAAGCGCATAGCGAATCGACTAGAGATGAGACAGAAGATGACGACGATGCTGATGGGGACGAAGAATCCGCGACGTTGAATTCCGATGATTTAGAGAGACCTTCTACACCGCCGGCATTGAATCACTTTGACTCGAACAATAATGGCGATTGCCCACCTGATACGCCACCTTCAGCACAGCCACTCGCTCCTTCACATTCTCATCACGAGCATCACCAGCAGCACCAACCTGATATTCCAGAAACGCCAATTCCCCAACCTAAACCTCCATCACACCAACACATTGAGACATACTTTTGTGCAAAGTGTAATGTCCACCTACCTCTTCACGAGGAAGCTGAACATGTCGACTATCATTTTGCGCTGGAGTTGTCAAAGGAGATGAGACACGAGGAGCGACAGTCCCCATTGACTACTGCCCAGAATGCAAGAAAAATCCCTGCTGTGCAAAAATCTGGGCGAGGGAGAGGAAGACTACCGGGTAGTGGTGCTGGAAAGGGAGGCACAGGTGCTGGTAAGGAGAAAGGACAGGCAAAGTTGGCCTTTGGGCGGCAGACTTGAATAGAATTTGTTACTCAGACGAGGCCATAAGTAGAGATGAAGATTCTAGATACCCGAAGATTACAACATCTATCTCGTCCTGGCCATCAGATTTGAGAAAGTGTATTGTGATATGTTCAGTATTTCGATCGATGCATTTCCTGAAATATTACTTGTCTTCAAGAAACAATAATTTGCATGAATTCTCAGGACTGCAGAAAAGAGGACCGTATTCATGAGGATGTCTATTGTGTATATGAAGAACTACTGAGTCATGAACCTGACTTTCTAGCCAGACTTACCAGTCAAGCCGGGCCAAGCACCACGAAATCGTCTTCACCTCCGCCCTTCTCGTATACGATTCCACCGAAACCCCACAAAACCCTATCTAGTGCCCCGGATTTTTCGTCCCAAAACTTCTTGCCCCCCGCAAGGTATGGGATCGGCGTCCGCCATACCGAAATTTCGATGGCGAGCCGAGGATTGGATGTAGAGTTGGGAACGGCTTGAATAGAGTATAAACATACAATGGCGCTCTTCCCTGCATTACCACTTCCGTCACATCCCAATTTCCCACGATGGTCGCGATACCCAAATCATGGCTTGCGTTGACGCTGCTGTCCCACAGCGCTTTTGCAAGGCGCAACGTGCAGAAGCGCAACGATACGCAAAGCCATGCGACCAACCTGTTGCACGAGTCGATGGACTGGATGGACATGTATTATGACCATGAGAAAGGATATCTGTTTAACCTTGATGCGACGGCATTGACGCATGATACAAGACACAGTGTCTGGTATGCGGCGGGTTTGTTGGCTCGCAATGAGCCGGATGATGTTGAGCAGGCAGTGAGGATTGTAGAGAATGTCATTGGGGCGCAAATCAAGAATGAGAGTCAGCAGTGGTGAGTAGAGCTTCCCGAAATTCACGCTCATCGTACATGGAACCCTTCTGACGGAGCGTAGGTTCGGAGACTACCAAATTTACCCTGAAGAGCCAACGGTCGGAACAGAACAGTATCCTGCAGTCATCTATAATTCTTGGGATCCGAACTGGCGAGGTTTCATCGGCACTACATTTGTCGTCATGCTGGAAGAATTCTCACATCTCATTCCTCAGCACACTCGGGATTACATGCTAGAGAGTCTATTTAACACTACTATCGGCGACAGCTATCGCGTCGGCGGTCTCGATGACGATAATCTATATCCTGCCTACAGCAATCCATCAATCATGCGGGCTTTCGTATCAGGCTGGGTGGGACGACGGGCAAACGACTCGAACATGACTGTCGCGGGCGAAGCATACGCAAAAGAAGTCATTGACCTCTTCACCCGCGACAACACGCTTTCCGAGTTCAATTCGGGGACTTATGCAGGCGTTTCTCTGTTCGCGCTGACGCTGTGGGCGAAGTATATGCCACAGGATAGTCTCATGGGCCAGTATGGAGGAGAGATGATCAAACATACCTGGACATCTTTGGGCGAGCTATACAATGCGAACATGAAGAATGTAGCAGGACCATGGGACCGAAGTTACGGGTTCGACATGAACAAGTACTTGAGTATCCTGGCGTTGCAGATGTGGACGCTTGTTGGCAAGGAGGATGCACCTGTGGATTCAAAGGTATGTCGTACTCCTCTCAACTTTCCGGAACTCGCCCAAAGCTATTCATTTCAATCTGTGATGGACACACTGACAAGCTCCACAGCCATACGCAATGGGCCACAAAAATGACTTCGCCATTTCCCCCCTCATCGCCATTCTCGCCCCCTTCCACAACACTCTTGTTCCCAACACGACTCTCTCCGCCCTCACCAACTTTCCCGGCCCGCATACCGTCACCACCTCCGCATTCTCACCTCCCTACGACACCTACCCCCGCAACATCACCGCCTGGATATCTGACAACCTAACCATTGGCGCCGAGTCATTTTCCGAAACCGTGGTTGGTGGTCCGGCGAGAAACCAGAGGAGCTTCAATCCTGCAGTTGTGCAGTGGGGAAGGAAGGACGGGAGTGTAGGATGGATGAGCTTGTACGCGCAAACCAAGGCGCTGGATGTGCATGTGCAAGAACGTTTGCTGGAATTGAGTTATCCGGAGGGTAACAGCAGTGATAGTGGGTTTTCATTTTTAGTGGGGACGAACGGGTGGGGTGGCAAGAGGGATGTCAGGGGATGGGAGGATGTGGAGGGGGTGAAGGTCAACGTCACGGGGTCTGTGGATGCAAACTACACCGTCACGTTTAATGGGCTGCGCGGTGGGGCGGGCAGTGTGATCAAGTAAGTTATCTCTTTGTTGGAATCGATATTGGGATGAGTGGATGGGTTTGCTAACGTGCTGATAGCGATTTTGAGTTCTGGAACTTCACGTATTTGATGCCGAAGGGAAGCCAGGATGTACCTCGTGTGAGGCTAGAGATTGAGCTTGATCAATAGTGTTTATAACAAAGTACAATTTGCGACGAGATTTGAATTTCGCCCAAGGGAAACTCTAATTACTTTCTGCTTCGGAAGAATTGCATGGGCGAGAAGAAAGCAGTAGCCGTACCGCTCAAAGTCCGCGGGTGGAACGCATGAAGTCTAGAGCTGCGCGCTGGTGAGCCATCCATAGATAGGACGAAAATCTCCGAAACAAGTGCAGAAACCTACTTGCACCAGGTCAATAGAGACACGAGTGTCGCCATTTCAAATGATGACAGCTTGACGGACCTACAATGCCAGCAACTTACCCTCCGTAGACCATGCGATCTTCAAGCGACTGTGGCATCACTGACAAACGACTGATTATCGTGAATTATCCACATGCACGGTTTCCGCATATTGACACGTATAATCATTAGATCTGTACTACCATATGGTAGCCGCTCATGGAGTTTGGTCCATCTGCCATGTTAGATGGCTAGTTCCGCTCTCACCCTAACGAAGTGCATAATATTTTCATCGCGTGCATTTTTATAAAGATTCGAAGATTCGCTCCCTGTACTCAATGTAAAACATGTTAGGTACTCAGTAGATTAATCACATCATCCCGTACTCAGGAACATTAAACCTCGTGATAAGATTACCAGGACTAAAGATGCGTGAAAAGCTGGTTGTACTAGAAGGGAAATCAGCAGGAGGAAACGTATTGTGCAAACTTCTTCTGCTGCAGGATGTTTACTGAACTGGACATTCAACCTCATAGATTACCAAGTATATTCCTAGTTGCTGTATCAGCAGAAAAGAAACCTTCATGCTGCTCCCGCAGAGCTTCGAATCATCATCTACAAGGATATACATTCCAGGTCTGCACAATTACAACCGATAATCTCTGGGGTACGAACAGAAGCTTTCGGGTAGTTTTCTCAGGCCCATCACCAAAGTACCTTGTTGGATCCGACTAACGGGGATCTTCAAGTTGAGCATTGGATGGCGGTGCGTTGCGCCTTTCATGATTTATCCAAAGAGCACCCATTGATTACCTTTGAGCTCCTGCATGCCCCCGAGACTTGAAACCTAGAAAGTGGGAGATTTAAGAGCCCATCGTTTCGAGTCTGTTAGAGGACAAAACCTTTTACGATTATTTTGGTAGAAGTTGCGAGACTATGGTGGACCTAAGACAGTATCTCGGATTTCTCCTGGCCTTTGAGATTGTACAGGAATAACAAGAGCCGTACTGGTGGTAATCCTTCAAATGAATCATATTGCATCTGCTTAGTGTGAGTGCAAACCGCTCTGGCAATGTAATATCTTAACATCGTAATTTACATCAGTCAAAATGGCGAAGAGAAAGTAGCCAATATAATATATTGTTTTACTGTTATTCAGATTACATTATACATTATCAACAAGTTTGAAAATATAAAACAAGAAACAAAGTTCATCTATAGGCTAGATGAACGGTACTATGGTTTAGATGTAACAACCAAACACATTGTCACCTTCCATATAGTGTAGCATGATGCCTTCCATGGAACGATGCTTAGCGAGCGGCTGTGGAAGTAGTCGTAGGACACAATGGCAGTGCCAGAGTAGTAGTGACTAGGCTTGTCACTGTTACCGCAGTCGTAGAAGAAAGCGTTGTTGCTGACGAATAGTAGGCCGTCGAAGTACCTAGGAGAGTAGTAGTGGGTGTGAAAGTGCTGTTATCTTGTCAGCAAATGGACCACAGGAGACAAAAAAAGTGCGTCTTACAAGGTTATAGTTTGAGTTTTGGTACTGCTGATCGTTGTGCTCGCCGCATTCAACGATGTGAATGTGAAGTCAGGTCCAGCAGTGACGCGCTTGACGGTGTAATTAGGTCTGAGAACGCGTTTACGATGGAGTTTGAGCCTGGAGTTCGCCATCGTACAGGCGGAGATTTTGCGCGCGCCTACCACTTGGTGGCTGTTCACTCTGACCCCGAATGTGCTCTTTAAGAAGCAGGGACCAGGTGTACCGTCTGTGTAAGAAACATCCACACATCCTGGTGTGTTATCGCATGCTTTGATGCACTCGATCAAAGAATTGGCGAGTAAAGGACGTCTGGTCACTGTAGATCATGTCAGTTGGGATAATCTACATACAGGCTGGCAGAACTTACTGTACGATCCATGTCGATCCGTGTGACATTCCAAGTTGTACTGGGCACCACAATCACTAGTATATATGGTACCTTCCACCTGAGGACATGCAAATGGATCATTTGAACCCATCTGTGGGTTACTCGCAAGCGGCAATGCAGTTGCGACAAACATAGTCGTTGGCTGGCCGCTTGGAGCAATTTGTCCAGGTTGCCTGTATTGACCATATGGGGGCATGTAATTCAACGTTGGCAATGACGAGCTAATGGGAGGAGAAACCGGAGTAGAAGCACCCTGAGTTGGAGTACCCGGAACATTAGGATCTTGAGTTGGAACAACAGAAGCAGCACCTGAAGGAACACCAGAAGCAGCACCTGAAGGAACACCAGAAGCTGCGCCTGAAGGAACACCAGAAGCTGAAGGAATACCAGAAGGTGAAGGAATACCAGAAGCTGAAGGAATACCAGAAGCTGAAGGAACACCAGAAGCTGAAGGAACACCAGAAGCTGAAGGAACACCAGGAAGACCAGGAAGACCAGAAGAAACGCTAGGAGCACCAGAAGGAGCACCAGGACCTTGGGTCAAAGCGCCTGAAGCACCTAGAGTTGTGAATTGAGTCAAAGTACCTAAGGCACCAGTGCCCTGAGTTGAAGCGCCCAAAGCATTTGGAGTTGAAATAATTTGGGTTGTAGCACCTGAAACACCCGAAGGACCTTGGGTTGAAGCGCCCGATGCATCCGATAGAGCTGGAGTTGAAGCCCCTGAAGCGCCTGGAGGAGCACCGGAGATACCTGGAGTTGGAATACCTGAGGCACCTAGAGTAGGAAGTCCTGAGGCACCTGGAGGAGCACCGGAGATACTTAGGGTGGAGATTACTGAGGCGCCTGGAAGAACACTGGAGATAATTAGGGTAGGGATTCCTGAGGCACCTAGAGTGGGAAGTCCTGAGGCACCTGGAATAGGAAGTCCTGAGGCGCCTAGAGTGGGAAGTCCTGAGGCACCTGGAATAGGAAGTCCTGAGGCGCCTAGAGTGGGAAGTCCTGAGGCACCTGGAATAGGAAGTCCTGAGGCGCCTAGAGTGGGAAGTCCTGAGGCACCTGGAATAGGAAGTCCTGAGGCGCCTAGAGTGGGAAGTCCTGAGGCACCTGGAATAGGAAGTCCTGAAGCACCTAGAGTGGGAAGTCCTGAGGCACCTGGAGGAGCACCGGAGATACTTAGGGTAGGGATTCCTGAGGCGCCTAGAGTGGGAAGTCCTGAGGCACCTGGAGGAGCACCGGAGATACTTAGGGTAGGGATTCCTGAGGCGCCTAGAGTGGGAATACCTGAGGCACCTGGAATAGGAAGTCCTGAAGCACCTAGAGTAGGAAGTCCTGAGGCACCTGGAAGAACACTGGAGATAATTAGGGTAGGGATTCCTGAGGCGTCTAGAGTGGGAACACCTGAGACACCTAGAGTGGGAAACCCTGAGGCGACCTGAGTGAGAACACCTGATGCAACTTGGGTTAGAGCACCTGAAGGAGCACCTGAAGCACCTGAAGCACCTGATAGGCTTAGAGTTGGAACACCGGAAGGAACACCGGAAGGAACACCGGAAGCACTATTAATGGGGACGCCTGAAGCATTAGACGGGTCTGGCATTGGTGCGCCTGAAGGAATACCTAGAACACCCGATGGGCCTAGAGTTGGAGCGCTTGAGAAAACACCTGATGCACCTGATGGGAACAGAGTCAGGACACTTGAAACGACTGATGGGATTAAAGTTAGAACACCTGAAGTACCGAATGGACCGAGAGTTGGAGAACCCAAAGCACCCGAAGAACCCTGAGTGGGAACGGCTGTAGCATCCGGGATACTTGATGGACCTAGAGTCGGAGCATTGACAATCGGGCTAGACAAACCAGTGATACCAAGTGCACTCAAGATGTCAGAGATACGAGGCGGGAACGCATATGGGGCTGGCACGGAGATTGCTGGGATCGAAACTTCTGGTATCGGGAGCGACGGCAGAGGTACCAATATTGAGACTGTAGGAACGGAGAGGATTGGCAGAGGCACTGATATCGAGACTGCTGGAACAGAGACTGCTGGCACGGAGACCGCTGGTACTGAGACAGCTGGTACTGAAACCGCTGGTACTGAGACTGCTGGTACTGAGACTGCTGGTACTGAGACTGCTGGTACTGAGACTGCTGGTACTGAGACTGCTGGTACTGAGACCGCTGGTACTGAGACCGCTGGTACTGAGACTGCCGGTATGGAGATTGACGGCAGAGGTAAGGAGACTGCTGGCACGGAGACTGCTGGCACGGAGACTGCTGGTACAGAGGCTGTTGGTTGGGAGACTACTGGTATAGAGATTGTTGGTATCACAATGGTTGGCACTGAGACTGCTGGTACTGAGACTGCTGGTACTGAGACTGCTGGTACTGAGACTGCTGGTACTGAGACTGCTGGTACTGAGACTGCGGGAATCGAGACTGCGGGGATCGAGACTGCGGGAATTGAGGGTATCGCGAGTGTTGGGACTGAGACTGCTGGTACAGAGACTGCGGGAATCGAGGGTATCGCGAGTGTTGGTACTGAGACTGCTGGTACTGAGACTGCTGGTACTGAGACTGCGGGAATTGAGGGTATCGCGAGTGTTGGGACTGAGACTGCTGGTACAGAGACTGCGGGAATCGAGGGTATCGCGAGTGTTGGTACTGAGACTGCTGGTACTGAGACTGCTGGTACTGAGACTGCGGGAATTGAGGGTATCGCGAGTGTTGGGACTGAGACTGCTGGTACAGAGACTGCGGGAATCGAGGGTATCGCGAGTGTTGGTACTGAGACTGCTGGTACTGAGACTGCGGGGATTGAGGGTATCGAGGGTATCGCGAGCGTCGGGACTGAGATTGCTGGTACTGAGATTGACGGCATCACGATTGACGGCATGGGAAGGTTTGGCACTGAAAATGCGGGGATTGAGACTGTCGGGACAGAGATTGACGGTATTGCGAGTGTCGGGACCGAGATTGACGGTATCGCCAGTGTTGGCACTGGAACTGCGGGGATCGAGATTGCTGGGACTAAGATTGACGATATCGCAAACGTTGGTACTGAGATTACTACTACTGAAACTGCCGGGATTGAGACAGCTGGTACAGAAACTGCTGGGGTCAGGATTGACGGAATCGCCACTGATGGGATCGGTATCCCGATTGAGGGTAGTGTGAGAGTTGGAACAGCGACTGATGGCGTTGGGATTGCTGGAATGACGATTGATATGATTGGGGTCGCAATTGACGATACTGGTATCTTGGTTGATGGGATGGCGAGTGATAGGGTTGGTATCGCGATCGACGGAATCGCGACTGAGGGAATTGGCAGTGAAGTTATCTGCACAGAAGGTAACGATACTGTTGGTAGCAAGACTGAAGGTACTGGCAGTGAAATCGACACTTCTGGGATAAATAGCTCTGGTATTGAAAGGGAGGGCAGAGGAAGTGATACAGACACCGCTGAAACCGGTAGTTTTGGAATAGACAGCGACGGCAGAGGCAGTGAGATCGATATCTCTGGTATGATTATTTCTGGTACCGAGAGCGATGGTAGTGGTATGGATATAGATACCTGTGGAATCGGTATGTTCGGAATCGACAGTGACGGCAGAGGAAGCGAAGGTATCGAGATCTGCGGTACAGGAAGTACGATTGGGGAAAGCGATACGGACGGCAGAGGAAGCGAAGGTATCGAAATCTGCGGTACAGGAAGTATGATTGGAGAAAGCGATACGGACGGCAGAGGAAGCGAAGGTATCGAGATCTGCGGTACAGGAAGTACGATTGGGGAAAGCGATACGGACGGCAGAGGAAGCGAAGGTATCGAGATCTGCGGTACAGGAAGTACGATTGGGGAAAGCGATACGGACGGCAGAGGAAGCGAAGGTATCGAGATCTGCGGTACAGGAAGTACGATTGGGGAAAGCGATACGGACGGCAGAGGAAGCGAAGGTATCGAAATCTGCGGTATAGGCAGCACGATTGGGGAAAGCGATACGGACGGCAGAGGAAGTGAAGGTATTGAAATCTGCGGTATAGGCAGCACGATTGGGGAAAGCGATATGGATGGCAGAGGAAACAATACCCGGACTGCTGATACCGAGACAGACGGCAGAGGGTTCGAAATCGGGATTGGTGGCACGGAGACTGAAGATGGAGGTACTGCTGTCGAGATTGATGGCTTTGTAACTAGGGATATTGAGACTGCCGGTAGAGATACTGATGCCAAGGCTGTCGATACCGAGACAGGTGGTAGAAGTGCTGATAGGGGCGGTAAGAATATCGATAGCCCTGGTAGAAGTGCTGTTTTTAAGGGAGGTGAGACAGGTGAGACAGACGGCACAGACGGCAGAGGCGTTAATAATGAGAGAGGTCCGGCGAAGCCTGAAGATAGAGGCACCGCTATCGAGACTGATGGTTTTGCGATTGGGGATGTCAAGACTGGTGGTAGAGATGTTGATAGCGGCGGTAGGATTGCCGATAGACCTGGTAGGAATGGCGCTGGTGACACTGATGATAGAGCTGCTGAAAGGGAGGCTGTCGCTATCGAGGGAAGTACCGTGTCCGTAGTTTTCGCAATCGAGACTGCGGGTGCTGCTAACGACAGCGCTAACGAGAATAACAGTGGAGGAGGTAATAACTGAGACTGAGGTGTTGACGAGACGTTGTCTATAACAGATGATATCCCAGCAATGGAAGCGTCTGAACTGCTGCTACCTGCATTTACACCTCCGTTCTTGCATCCGGTAGAGCTGAGGGTGATCGTGCTAGTAGTCGCTGCTGTCCTCGTAGACACTTCTGTAACGGTGGCGGTGGGCCTGAATACTAATGCAGTGAATGCATACTGCTGTTCTGTGGAGGTACTTATTGTCGAAGTCGAAGCCGTTGTAGTCACCGTGGTTACACCAGGGCCGGGCGAGGTACCAAAGCGAGCCATATAGGGCAGTGGCTTCACACCATTCGAAGCCACATCTCTGAAGCTTATTGTGAGAGTGCCTGTATTGGGAAATTTCTGAAGATAAGCCGTCGGGCAGTATAAGCCTGTAGAAGTGGTTCCATTTGCGGTATAGCTACAGGTCTGGGTATAGCCAGCCACAGAGTTGACGAGCATAGGCGTAAAGGTTGGTATGCCAGGAGCACCCGTGAAGCATGTAGAGCCTGCAGAGACGTAGGCGATGCGAACTCCGAAGGCATCAGGGTGTACATATTTGGCATGATCAAAACTGAAGGTAGGGGCCTGGTTATTCACCAAGGATGGTAGAGCAGGGACTGAGAGCGAACAGGCCATTGTGGAAGTCACACAAACTTGTGCTACCGTTTGACCGTGGAAGGGATGAAGTTGTCATGGTGAGAAGGATTGCAATGGTATTTAAGCACCTTCTGATTTTGCATGTGGGATTCTAGGAAGAATGAGCGTGAGTAGGTCAGTTGGGTTAGGTTGTTCATTCTGGGTTCGTCGCAGATTGCCAACAGAACGTTCCGACAACCTGAAAAGCTAAGATCTGTGATTGGATATCCAGAATAGGCAGAGTGCATCAATGCGTAAGTTAGAGCCTCTTTTTCGTGAAAAGTCAAGAGCCTCTCCACTCCAAGTCAGACAATTGCGCAACTGAAGTGGAATTCTTGGGACGACCGAAGTCAGACAATTACGTAATTGAGGTGGACTTCTTGGGACGACCGACCGGGACCAAAATGACGGGCTCTTCTTTGTCCGAGTGATCAATCTGGTATCGTAAAGTTTAGAACTGTCGTCCACATTTCTTTGGACGCGGGCTCTGCGGGCACCTCGTTAGGAATCAATGGACCTTATCGAGGCCTAAGAACACTGATAGTCTGAACCATCTCTCAGATGATGAAGAATTTTCAAAGCAGCATGGAGTTTGTCTGGCTCGAGCTCACTGCATGAAAGCTGCATGATATTTGACCATGAGCCTCATTCTTGTTTCCACTTGGAGATGGTCTCGCGACTCATACATCCTGTACAGTACCCGTCTCCTGCAGTCTTCCGCGTGTAATGGTTCCCCTGATAGACAACACTTGATATTGTGGGAGTTTTGAGATGGTACAGTCGCCGTTCGTTGTTCTTCCGTCTCCTGTGGATGTCCGCAGGTTCGGCGATCGCATGATCTCTGCAGACTCCTAGTCGCCGTTAGCTGCAATACCTACATACATTTGTTCTTCACAATGCTTGAGTGAATCAAAAAAACTTTGGCGGCAATCAAGACTTGTACGGAAACGCAGACGCTAAAACGGTGGGGCGGGTTTTCGCAATCAGGCGAGTGAAGAGGCAGGGCTGGATTTTGGAACCCCTGATGCCATTTCATCACGTGCTTAGCTTGGCGCTATCTCATTAGGTATAGCTCATACCTTCAGGCAGCAGCACATCAGCAAAAACTGCAAACTGCATTAATACATGAGATGACCATCATAAACCCCACCTTACCAGTATGTGTAGGCCGTGCATGGAATACTTCGCTCGTTCTCTTACCACACTTTCACAGAGACCAGCAAATAGTGGATGCATAATCGCGCGAGTTTACGTATACAGTTGATCAATTTTCATATACTAACAATGTGTCTTTCATCAAAGGTCGCAAACATCTGCATCAAATATTGATTTTCCAAAACATGAGGCACTCTAATCAAAGGACTACTGATCAGAAACAGTGCGACTGAAGCTATCTGCTGCGGTCCCAAAAGCTCTTATGCAATCATAGCATAGGGTTTGACTTCCCAACAAGGTCGTAACTCAACTTTATCGCCTATCACTTCTCGTCAGTGGCGCCTTCAGCGACGTTGGTTGCATAGCCCTCATTCTCGCCAGAGTTCGCATCCCCACAGTCGCTGTCGCCAGAGTGGTCCTCCCCAAAGTTGTGGCCGCCAGAATTCTCCTCCC